GACCTGCCGGGAATCTAACCCAGGTCTCTCGCTTGCAAAGTGAATGCTCTAACCAATGAGCTACAGCATTTCACTCCATTTAAGTGGGAACCCGGTGGGTTTAGAAGAGAATATGGTGGAGTGGGATTGGTGAAAAGAGGGGTTTGGGAGAGGGGAATAGAGAAGTATAAGAGAGGGCAATAGAACCTGTAGCAGAGGGCAACCGAGGGCTGTAGGAGTTGGCAATAGAAGAGTGTCGATGAGGAATAAATGGCTTGGGGGGAGGTGGTGTTTGTGGGGGAGATGGAACAGTTGAGCGGAATGGCTTGTTTCTCTGGATCATTCTCTGCTATTTCTTGTATTCGGTGTTACAACATACAGGAAGATCGGCTGTGCCTTTCAGGTTTCTGTACGGTTCTCCAATGGACAACGTCTAGAGCTCAGATACAGATAAATAGGCAAGCATGTAAGTTTTTGTGAGAAATAGTAGGTTTTAAAATAATTGAAAATTCACTTAAAGAAATGTGCGAGTTGTCTTTATTTCTCCAGAAAAGCTTTGAGCTGATGATAAACATTCCATTGTTAATTTATACATTTGCTCTCAAGAGGGATCTGTGAACTGTATCTCTTTGCTGGGACTATTCTGATTAGCTATGAAAGCTGCTGAATCGCTGATATCCCATCTGTAAACATTGCTGAATTAAATATATAATCGCAAAATCGTGGTAAATAAGTCAACGTGTTTCCACTGTTGTGTTGCATCTGTCCAGGCCTTTGTGTTGCTTTGAGTAATGAAGAATTAACTTGAGAGTTCACCAGCCCAGCTGTCTTGTCGGCTTTTGTGAACATTACAATCAGATAAGGAAGCCAGTCTCCAGACTGCAGTACCTCGAGTGACCACAGGGTGAGTATATAATTCTGCATTTCAAGCTGCAACTCAGCTGTCAATTTACAAGAGGGGAAACTGGCAAATACTGTTTGTGCAAATTACTATAGTTCATGTAAATCTGAGAGTAAAATAATTCTCATTAAGTCCAGGAGAACTAATATGTTAAACTCAACGGCAATCTCTCGCTCTCCTCTCTACAAATGTCTGGAGGGCAATTGTGGTGTCTCTCCACAAGAGAGAACCAGAACGACTCAGGAATCTCATTGATTTCCATCGCTCTTAAAGTTGTACTTTGGGCCGTCAGTGCAGATAGCTTTCCAGGATTGGAGACTCATGATTTGATCAGGAAGGAGCAAGCTGGCTTCTGCTCTATTTGCAATGTGTTGACAGGTTGTGACTTTGTACAAGTTCACAGAAAGTTGTAAGATTCAGAGAAAACTAACTAAGCCGATTTAAGCAAGACCTTTGAGTGGGTGCATTTTGAAACCCGCATAATGGAAATGTAAGTGATGGGAAAATAAGGTAAAATTTTGGATTTGATTCGGAATGTTTATTCGAAACTAGAGAGTGTGTCTGGTTGGTTGACGGGTAGGATTCTCTCTTCGGGCTGAAAATTCAAGCAAAGATTGAGAGATCTCGGATTAAATTACCAGACGAGCCAGCCTTTTGTTTTATTCTGGCCAACAATCCCCAATAGCATTGTTCATTTACTCTATGGTTGTTTGTGGGACATTACTGTGCCAAACGGTCACTCACATAATACGCAGTCACTTCCCTTCACAGTATATCGTGTGACATGACTTGTGACGTCCTCGTAACATGAAAGGCTCTGTACGAAATGGAAGGATTATTATCCTCCTCTTTGGGGAATATTAAGCGGGGAATTATGGAAGTTGAACTGGCTCCAAGATTATGTTCTGCTCACATAGTGCTCCCCCTGCCCCTCCACACAAGGCCTATCTCTGAACCTCTGTCTCTCTCTCTCTCTCTCCCACAAACTGTTTCTCCCACACTCAGATTCTCTCTCACAAACTATGTCTCTCGCATTCTCTCTCACACAATGTGATTCTCATACTCTCAGTCTCTCTCTCAATCTGCATATCTCACACTGTCAGACTCTCACACACAGTGTCTCTCACACTCTAGTTTCTCACCCTCTGTCTGTCTAAGGCTCTGAGGTGAAATGATAAATTGAGGTCAAGTTTGTGTTGTGTTGAGGAAACATCTTAAAAATCCCTCGACGCTATTTGGGAAAGAGAAGGAATTTTTTCCAGGTGTTAGTATCCCTGCCAGCTCAATTTAAACTGTACCAAAGAGTTAATATTGGACGTGAGTCAAATGGCAAAAGATGATGCGTAGCTAAACCACTGTTGTGGCATTAATTAAGCAGTGTTACCGGATATAAAGTTCAAACCACGCAAACCTCCCTGCGAAAGGGCTCAAACATTTATTAATAATGCTAATAATCCTTGCACGTGATCTAGCGCCTTTCACTTCTCATAGACATTTCAGCACGCTTGATGGCATATGCTGTAAAGTGAACTGACCTTATTTTATTCCTGGCAAAATGCGGCAGCCAATTGCGACCACAGAAGTGTCCCACAAACAGTCATGGATTGAAGTGACGAACTCATTACATATTTTTCTTGAGGGAATATTAACAGGCATTTGGAATAAGGAAACTGGCCCAATGTTTCGTCCTGCCGGGAATCAAACCCACGTCTCTCGCTTGCGAGGCGAATGCTCTAAACACTCAGCTACAGGAATCCATTCAATGCAAAAGGAAGGAAAAGAACCAGACTGACCAGCAAAATTTCTGCAGAGGAATTTTGTCTGTACATTTCTCTGGACAGAAAATGGATTTGCATCTCCAATCAGATTTTAACGATAATAATGCTCATTGCATTTAATATAGAGGCTGATGATGTCTTTCAGGTGTCTCAAAGCGCTTCGCAGGATATACTGTAAATTGTAGTGCCTGTTTCTTTTTATGGGCGAAAGGAGGCATTATTATTCTACATGTTTATTTTTATGTGACATTACTGTGAGCAATTGGCTGCCGCATTTCACCCACAAAATATACACTCATTTCACTTTCTGTGAAGCGCTTTGCGACGTCAGCGGCTTGGGACGACCTCCCGACGTGAAAGTCGCTCAATAGATGGAATCTTGTTGTTGTTGTTGTCTCGAATATGTGTTAAGCGCTGTATCAAATGGAAGGATTATTATGATTACTATAACACATTGTATTGACAAACGCACTCATTGGGTACTCAGGTGTATTAAATTGTATAATTTAATAGATGTTATAATTATTTGGTTGATTTTAACAATGGTTGTATACATATGCAATTGTTTTGTGAGCACAATACAATATCGCGCTCCACAAATGCTAAGCTCTTGTAGGTCGCCCAGCGTGGAGAGCGCTATAAAAATAAAAGTTGTTGTTGTCGTTAACAGAAAATAACATTAAGAATAATATAATAATAACAATTTGCTCTTATAAAGCGCCCTTCACACAGTGCACCTTCTCGGAGCTTAATAGTGGTACAGCCTGAATACCAGCCGGGCGGAATAATAACACTAAAATTAAAACAATCACATTATTAATAATGGGCATATTTCTTTGTCTCCTTCTGCTTAATCATTGGTTACCAGGAGACATAGGGCGTCAGGGGAAAGGGATAGAATATTGGTTTGGTGTCGCCGCCTCCTGAGAGACGCGATGAAGGGAGAAAGGAGACGTGCTGATGTTGCACGTTAGGGAAAGTGTGGGGCGGAGGCCAACGCATTGGCGTCACCACATGAGGGAGGAAGAGAATTAAGAGAGAGTCACTCGCAGTGGGGAAGCTGTGCCGTGCAATATGGAATATGGAAGTAGTGCCGTGCAGTGTGACAGCCCCAATTGGGGATAGGTGACTTACAGCCTGTCACAAACACACACACGCACACGTTCGAGTTGACGTGCCGACGTCACCGCGTGTGTAGCCTGCCTGTCACGCGCTTGGCGGCATTAGCGACGGCGGCTGGAGAGAGAGAGAGAAAAGAACAATGGCGGCGGCTTCGACAAACGGAGAGTAGCGGGAGAGAGATAGAGAGAGAGAGAGGCGTTGAGGGGGGAGAGAGAAGTAGCGGGAGAGAGAGAGAGAGAGAGAAGGTGAAAAGGATAGAAAAAGACGGTGAGGGGTAGAGTGAGCAGTGAGAGCAAGACGGAAAAGGGGGGAGAGAAGGAGAGAGAGAGAGAGAGAAAGACGGGGAGGTATGGAGAGAAGGGGAGAGTGACAAAAGAACAATGGCAGTAGCTCCAGACACAAGGGGAGGGAGAGAGAGAAAGAGAGTGAGAGAGAGAAAAAGTGAGAGAGTGAGACAGAGAAAGAGACAGAGGAGCGAGAAGGAGAGAGACATTGGGAGACGTGAGAGAGAGGGAGAATGGGATTGGGGATCCGAGGAGAGAAAATGGGATGGAGAGAGGCGGAAAGGGAGGGACAAACGGGGCTGAATGTCCTCGCAGGTGAAGCTGTTTCTCAATCACCTTCAGTGGAACAGCGTCAACTCCAGTCTGTATCTGGTCACATTAGGAGATAAGAGTCTCTGTGTGTCTGTCTGTGTGCGCGCCAGTGTGTGTGTGTGTGTTTGTGTCTATGTGTGTGCCTGCGTGTGTGATGTGTTTGTGTGACTGTGTAAGTCTGTATGTGTTCCGGTGTCTGTCTGTGTTTGTTCGTATGTGTGTGTTTGTGTCTGTGTGTTTATATCTATTTGTGTCTGCGTGTGTGTCTATCTGTTTGTCGGTTTCAGCGAACACATATCAGAATATCTCTGCCAGGATAAAACAAATAACCTGCTGAGTTACGACAAGAGATAAAATTCCTTTGGTCACACGGACAGGTAAATTTGGAGAGCGCCTTTGATGCTGGACTTCGCAAGAAAGCAAATGTGTATAATAACAACGATCAGCCTTGCAGTTGTACAGCGCCTCATCACGTCATCGAGAAACGACTTTACATACAGTCGTGGGTTGAAGCGGTCGAATTTTTATCAGTTTTACAAAAAATTGAAGGGATTATAAGCCCCGTAAAAGCCATGCCAATGGACTTTGAGGCTGGTTCCCACTGACAGCTGGTAAACCCAGGCTGGGGGAAAAGAGGGGAGACATGAAGGACTGGGAGGGCAGAAGATTGACAGCTGGGATGACCAATCCAAAGCTGGGAAGTGTTGGAAGGAGTCAATCGGCAGCGAATTGGCGGAGAGATAGTGACGGTTGGAAAGAGTGTGCGAGACAGGAAGGAGGGCAGATAGTTGACCTGGCGAAGGACATATCAGATGAAATAATATTATTGAAAACGCAACTGACCAATGGTAAGCTCTGGCTTTGTGGGCGTGTGTTTGAATGGACCAATGGAAAGCGAGTCGACGTGGAAAGTGTGGCGGGTGGTGAGACCGCGAGGTAGGAGTGGATATGATTGATAAGGACCTGGACCTATCAGAGCGCGACTATTGATTCAAGTGGAGGCAGACCAATGGGAAGCTGCGGCTGAGGGTGCGGGTTTTGGAATGAGCCAATGCGTAGGCGGTGACGTAGTAACGGTGCTCTGACTGAGGGGGCGGTGTTAGGAATGGACCACCCGGGAGAGAATGGGCGGGGACAGTGTAAAGCTTGACGGAGGAGAAGCTCAAACATGGTCGAGGAACATCCGCAGAGAGCGGCCCCGAACTGCTGGACAACTGGGGCTGATAGAGGCTCAGGTCAGTGGGAAAGAATGAGAGAGCGAGAATGTGGTAAAGAGAGAGTCTGTGACAGAGAGGGACTGTGACAGTGTGTGTGTGTGTGTTTGTGTAAGAGAGAAAGAGCGAGAGAGAGAGGATTTGTGTGAGAGTGTCTGTGTGAGGATTTGGGTGAGTTTGAGTGAGAGTGATTATTTTTGGTCACTTTAATTCACCAGCTATGCAGGAACCTGGTTGATAGTCGATTGGTAAATGACTTTCCGTTGTTATATTCCATGCGAAAAATAACAAGTTGGTCCCTCACCAGACGGCAGTTTGTGGGACACTGCTGTGCCCTTGGCTACCGGGTTACACTCACAAAATTTACAGTCACTGCAATCTTGTTAATACCACCCATGCCATTAAAACCACATTGATGCCACACACCTCTTTAATACTCGATACCCCATTATTATCCCACACAACATGAATACCACACACTCCATTGGTACCCCACAACACATTAATGCTCCACAATCCATTAATACATCATATTCCTCATTAATTACCCCCAACACGCACCAATGATAGCCCACACACCCAATTCATACCACATTAGTACCACAAACCCCATTAATAACACATATTCAATAAATACCCCCACACCCATTAATACCACACACCGTATTAACACGACACAATACATTAATACCCAATGCACTATTAACACCAGAGCCTCCAATAATACCACATACACGCCGTTGCTACTCCACAGACCACACTAATACACCACATACCTCATTAATATACGCCAAATTTCCATTAATTCGTCAGACTCTCCATTCCTAGACCACAAACCCAATGATTACAAAACGTACCCCATTTGTACCCAACACCACTTTCATAATCCCAACTAATTAATACGCCGCACCACATTAGTACACCACGTATCCCATCAATTCCATGCATCGCGTTACTAACACCCTGAATTCATGCGCCACATCCACTAATATCCCACATTCCATGAAAACCCCACACCCAGTTAATACCATTCACGCCACAATAATATACCACATACCCCATTAATACCATACACCCCATTAATAACACCACGAATTCATACCCAATACTCTATTAATAACACCAACTCATTAATACACCACAACCCATTGTTACGCTACACTCCACTGTGGAGTCCTGTAGCACAGTGGTTAGAGCACTCGCTTTGCAAGTGAGAGACCTGAGTTCAATTCCAGGAAGAGGGCCAAACATTGGGCAACATTCCTTACTCCACACAGAGCCTAATAATAATCCCTCGAAAACAAAAAACATTAATAAATCGGTCATTTTCAATCTACGGCTGGTTGTGGCACACTGCTGTGCGCAATTGGCTGCCGCGTTCGCCCACAAATATACAGTCAATTCACTTTACAGTGTGATCTGTGAAGCGCTTTGGGACGTCTTACCGACGTGAAAAGCGCTATATCAAAGCAAGGATTATTATTACTATTATTATAATACCCTGCACACCCCGTTAATAACCCCTACACCCAAATAATATCACACATAATACTAATATAGCATAGAGATAATTTATATCCAAACACCCGATAAGTACTACATAAGCCATTAATACCAAATGCCATATCAATACCATACAGCGCGTTAATACTACTCAGCCCTTAATAACACGCACCCCATTAATATGTCACACACCCCACTGATAACCCACAAGCACCATTAATAGCATATACACACAAGTAATACCTCACACACATCATTAATACCACATACCCCATTAATGTCACACTTATTGGCCCTTCACGTGAGGTAGCATCCCACAGCGCCTGACAGCGGAGGAGTCTGAGAGAGCGAGAGGGAGGTGTATGTCTCCGTAAGCACAATCAAAAAGTAGTGGTTTTAGACGAGTTTTGACAGAGGGGAGAGAGGGGGGAAGATGGAGAGTTTGTGGGAATAAGTTCCAGCCACTTAATCGTGGAGAAGACGAGAGATTATCAGAACGTCGGAGCCAGCCGAACGGAGATAGCTGGTGGTGGAGTGGCTGGTAATCAGATGTGAAAGGGAGGGAGGTGCGAGAGCATGAAGGGATTTCAAAAGTATCCAGAAGATCTTGAAATCAATCTGTTTGGAAATCAATCCTTGATATGAGCTGCACTTTGTTGTTTAAGTCTCAGCAGCGAACGCTACAAATTGAGGATGGAAGCCAGGAAGAGGAATCTAGCAAGAAAGAAAAGGGAGGAGGTAATTAGCACAATACTAAATATATTTTACATTTATTTCCAGCACGGAATCAGACCACTTGGCCCAGCGAGTCCATGCCGGTGTTTGCTGTCTCTCCGTGCTCCAACCTCCCTCGCTTCTATTCCCTCTTTCTTCATGTGTCTAACTTCCTCTAAAATCCGTCATATTTGGATCCCATCGTAACAATTAGATTTGTGACCCTTTGTTACGAAATTCATCGTCCATTTTCTAACCTTAAGAAATCATTTTATAGTTGTAGATCCTTCTTTGGCGTCCCATGTTGAACATCTCTTCTCTAGTGATGAGAGGCCTAATGTATACAATCTATCCAGATAGCAGTAATCTGTCACACAAGGATGATCCCAGTAGATTTGCATTTCTTTTCGGGAGAAGCGCTTCTCCGTGGACTGCATATGGATTCTCAAACGAAGGGTGTCACCTCCAACAATGTAGCTCATCCCCAGCATTGTATTACAGTGTCAGTTTAGAATAGGAGGATTCCATGACCCGACGTGGAGCTTCAACACGCAACTTCCTGACACAGAGACGAGAGTGAGTCAAACTGAGTCAGTGTGGCATATGCCTATAGCATTCTTACGTTCCGCATTTCAGAGCAAAAAGTAGAGATCACACATCCCGTCAGGGTACAGTCACAAAAAAGATGTAGCTGAAGCCGCGGGTTCAGTGTATAAAGGAAGCAGTCTGGGTAACAGAGGAGGAATCTCAACAATGAAGATATCAAAACAACGTATTCTTCCTGAAAGAAGCTACACAGAAAGATTGAGCATAAGATGTAAATTATCCCATTGTGTCTTTGCCAACGCCAACTCTATTTTCCCTTTTTATGATTAATCCAACATTCGAATTCCATCCCTCCATGTTCATCTTATTGATGGTCTGAATGAAGGAATTCCTTATGAGCTCTCACGTCTGGTAACCCTCTTGAGACATTTTGTCCTCCTCCTTCCCCCTTAACATCAACCATTCCGAACGATATGAAAAAAGATTTTACCACAATTAAGGACAATAATAGTTCTTTAATTTGATAAAGCGTCTTATCCTTTGTTGAAGCATCTCAAAGTGCTTCACAGGATACACTCTAAACTGGTGTAAATATGCAGTTTGTGGGATGATGTAGCAGCCAATATGCAAACAGCAATGTGCCACAAACACCCTTGGATGGATTGATTAAGGTTGACTGGGGGCGATTGTCTGTAAGCAGGAAATTTCCTCACCCTCACCTACAAGGCCATTCACGGCCTTGCTCCCTCCTACCTTTCCGACCTACTATCCCCCTACCTACCTGCCCGTACCCTCCGTTCCTCTGGCTCCGGTCTGCTCCACATCCCCCGCCCCAACCGGCCTACCATCGGTGGCCGGGCCTTCAGCCTCTCAGCCCCGAGGCTCTGGAACTCTATCCCCCAGTGCCTTCGTCGCTTCCTCCCTTTCCTTCTTCAAGGCCGGTCTCAAGACCTTTCTCTTTGATCGTGCCTTAATCTCACCTTTCGACTCTCTAGCACCTCCTCGCTCCCTCCTTTCCCTCCCCTCACCCTGAACATTTCCCCACTGCTCGGGTCCTGACCCAACTGTACAGCGCCTTGGGAAGTCCTCCCGACGTGCAAAGGCGCTCAATAAATGGAATCTTGTTGTTGTTGTTCTCTTTTCACGCATTGCAGTGGACTTTTAATCCTCATCAGGCACAGACGGACAGAAAGCTTTAACGTCTAATTTATAGGGCTATTCCCACAAACTTTACGGTCAATTCACTTTGCGGTATATTCTGTGAGGGGCTTTGACACGTTTCAAAGATGAGATAATGCTCTATATCAAACGGAAGGATTATCATTATTATTATTAATATAGCACTTCCCCCCAGTGCTGGCACTGAGGAGTCAGTCTGCGCTTTTATTTCAGTTAACACTGAACGGAATTGCCGACAAATTGAGCATCATTTTAATATTGGAATAGTTGCCAGTGTTATAAGGGCTTCATGGACTCTGTGTACACTGTGAGTCTCATTCCTGCAATTTTGTTTATTTACTCCACAGGGGCCGAACCGGAAAGGCTTTGAGCTCTAAAACAAAAAGCGAGTGGAGGAGAGGCCTGAAGCTGCCGATATGGATTGACAAAAAGCTATAGAAGAACTTACGCTGAAGAAAGGTATCAGCTCCAAGGCCTTGCGGAAATCCAAGAACGCATTGTAGCTGATTATCCTCTATATCTTTAAACTTTCTGTGATATTATACAGAGGCGCAACCTGTCCCACACATCGATCAAGGAAGAGAAGCTATTCTGCTCCTTCCTGATCAAACCAGGAGTCTCCAATCCGGCAAACTATGTGTAGTGACTGCCCAAAGCATCACTTTAAGAGCCACTGAAATCAGTGAGATTCCTGGCTGGTTGTAGATCTCATTTATGGAGGACACCACAATTGCCCTCTCGATACTGAATGAGAGGGCGTAGAGCGTGTCCCAGACTTCATGTTGAAGCTTAACATATTACTTCTTCTGGGCTTAACCAGAATTATTTTACCGTCAGATTTCAAATAAATTACACCAATTGGCAGAATTTTTTTTCTCTTATATTTGCTTCCCGTGTGGCCACCCGAGGTATTGCAGGCTGGAGTCTGGCTTCATTATTTGATTGCAATGTTCTCAAAAGCCATCAAAGCAGCAGGACTGAGCAACTCTCAAGTTAAATCTTTATTACTGAAAGCAACAAAAATGTGTGGATAAACACAGCACAATAGTAAAAACATGTTGCTTTATTCACCACGATTTTGCAAATATATGTTTAATTCAACAATATTTGAGATACCACAGTTGAGCTCATTATTGATCCCTAAAAAGTCCCAGTAATTACCAATACAGTGCAAATGTCATAATAGAGTATGAATGTATGTATGTATGTACGTACGTACGTACGTACGTATGTATGTACGTATGTATGTATGTATGTATGTATGTATGTATGTATGTATGTATGTATGTATGTATGTATGTATGTATGTATGTCTGTATGTATGTATGTATGTATGTATGTCTGTATGTCTGTATGTATGTATGTATGTATGTATGTATGTCTGTATGTCTGTATGTATGTATGTATGTATGTATGTATGGAGTCCTGTAGCTCAGTGGTTAGAGCACTCGCTTTGCAAGTGAGAGACCTGAGTTCAATTCCAGGCAGAGGGCGAAACCTTGGGCAAGTTTCCTTACTCCACACAGAGCCTAATAATAATCCTCCAAAACCAAAAACAATAATAAATTGGTCATTTTCAATCTACGACTGTGGGACATTGCTGTGCGCAATTGGCTGCCGCGTTCGCCCACAAATATACAGTCAATTCACTTTACAGTGTGTTCTGTGAAGCGCTTCGGGACGTCCTCCCGACGTGAAAAGCGCTATATCAAATGCAAGGATTATTATTATCATTATTATTATTAACAACGGAATGTCTATCATCAGCTCAAAGATATTCTGGAGAAAGAAAACTCACAACTGATTTGTAAATTATTCCAAACGCTTCTATTTCTCACAAACACTCACCTACTCTCTACTACTCTATTTATGAGCTGCAGATTTTCTCCATTTCAAAATTGGTCAAAGCGGGCCGGTGCAGTTTTGTGTTAGTGGAATGTTGTGTATTGTGGCGCTGGGGAGACCATTGAGGTGGGCAATGGAATAGTCAGCTGGGAAGTGACGAAGGCCTGGGTGAGTGTTTAGGCTGTCGTGGATGTAAGGTATGGATGGAGCTGAGCAATATGGGGGAGGCGGAAAAATTTGTTCCTGGTCAGGGAATGCATGGGGGAAAGAAAGATAAGTGGTTGATGTCCAGTTTTGCTCATTCTGCTGATTACAATTGTGAGTTTCATGTGCTTACTTCCCGTGCTCTGATAGAAATTCACATTGATTCTGAATAATACTTTGTCTGAAATACTGAATACTTCTCTGAAACGTCTCGAAAACGTGTTGAGACATCATATCAAACGCAAGCATTATTACTAGTATTATTAAAAAGCAGATTGGAGATTCGAAGTGAGTTTACTGTCCAGAGTAATACACAGATAAAACTCCACTAATGAAATGCTGCTGTTCTGTTCAGTTTTTTTCCCCTTTAGCAGTTGAATGTTTGAGCCCGTTTTGCAGGGAGGTATTGTGTTCTTTATGCATCATATCCGGAAACGCTGCTAAGTTAACGCTATTACAATGTTTCAGCTATACATCTTCCTTTGCCATTTGCCATCATGTCCCATATAAGCGATTTCATACAGCTGCAATTGAGCTAGTATGGATTTTAACACCTGAAGAAACTCCCTTCTCTTTTTCCAACAGCTTCTCCACATCGTTAGCTTCTGTCCTTAACTCAGCAGGAACTGGACCTTAGTTTATCATTCTTTCTGAAAGACCTCTGGTAGAGCCACCGTAAGACACGGCTCTGAAGAAGCCCACCGGAGGCTCCCTATGAAGAACCTCCGAAGTCCCACCCAGCCAAGACTCCCCCAAAGACAAAGACTCAGTAGACCCGTCCCGAAGAGCCCAACCAGGATATTGGTGGCAGCGACCAAGACTGGCATTGTGCAGCAGCCGAGAGTCGGTGTCTATCAGCGTTGATTTGGGGCTGAGTTGATTTAGAAGTTGAGCATTTTGGATTCAATGGTTGAAGATAGAATTGTTTTGGGAGTAGGATCCACCCTGGACGGTCAGAGCACACAATGTGTGCACTGCTCTGCCTACTCGCGCGCGCACACATACACACACACACAGCCCTGGACACGCGGAGCTCACCGTGTGGCCGTACTATACACAGTGACACACACACACACACCGCCCTGGACATGTGGAGCTCGCAGCTCGCATAAAGATCCAATATACTATCAACACAGATCAACGGGTCAAACTGGAGCCGTTTGTTTCATTGACAATCCAACGATTGAGAATATAAATGTGGTGTAAATCCTGTTAGTTTGAGCTGTAAAACCATGTTGTATTGAGATCTTTTGTGTCACCATAATTGGCGTTATCCACACAGTTTATATCTTTATTAACAGAGAAACAGCGGCATTTTCACAAACAATGGGGTGCAATGGGGTTGCCAGTTGGGCTGGGCTGGGCTGGGGTAGGGTGCGCAGGCTGGGTGGGGTGTTGTGGCCAGACTGGGCTGGTGTGACCAGAATGGGCTGGGTTGACCAGGATGGGCTGCGTTGGGGCAGCCAAGCTGGGGTGGGATGGACGGGCAGGGCTGCAGTGGTGTGTCAAGGCTGGGTTTGCGTTTGCTGGGCTGTGGTGGCCAATCTTGGGTCTGGTGGCCAGGTTGGGCTGGGGAGGCAGAGCTGGAAAGGTGGGGTGGTTAGGATTGGTTGGGCTAGTGTGAGTTGGCCAGGCTGGGATGCGACGTCCAGGTTGAGGTGGGGTATCCAAGCAAGGATGGCGTGGAAAGGCTTCATTGAGGTGGCAAGGATGGTGTAGGGTGCGCTGGCCAAGCTAGTCTGGGGTGTTCAGGCATTTATGGGCAAAGAGGTCTGAGCTGGGTAGGGGTGGCCAGGCTGAGTTTCCCAGGCTGGTATGGGATGGCCAGGCTGGCCTTGGGTGGGGACGCCAGGCTGCGCTGGAGTGGGTTGGCCAGGCTTCGCTGTGTGTGTTCGCAAGGCTAGGGTGGGATGTCTAGGCTAGTGTTGTATAGCCAGGCTGGGGTTAGGTGGCCAGGCTGGGGTTGGGTGGCCAGGCTGGGATTTGGTGGCCAGGCTGCGTTGGGGTGGTGTGGCCTGGACAAGCTGGTCTGGGGTGGGCTGGGGTTGCCACGCTGAGCTTGAGAGGAGTGGGGTGGCCAGATTGAGCTGTGTGGCCATCATGTGCTGGGTTGGTTAGCCTGAGGTGAGTCGGGGTACCTAGGGCAGGATGATGTGTCTGGACGTATGTGGTGGGCGGGCTGGTTTGGGATATGGTCGCCAGAATGGGCAGGGTAAAACAGTCTGGGCTGCGCTGGCCTGGCTGGTGTGGTGTGTCCAGGCTGGGCTGGGGTTGGTTGTGATGCGATGACGAGGCTGAGCTAGGGTCGGGAGGGCAGCCTGGAGTGATCAGGCTCGGCTGGGGAGGCCAAGCTGGAGTCACTATACTGGGCTGTTGAGCGGTGGCCATCCTGGGGTGGAGTGGGCAGTTTGCTCTGCGGTGAGGTGGCCAGGTTGGGCCGGGTTGGCCAGGCTGGGCTAGGTTGGCCAGGCTGGGGTAGCCAGGCTGTTTGCGATGGCCAAGCTGGGCTGGACGGGCGTGGCCTGGCTGTGGTGAGTGGGATGAGGGAACAGGCTGGGGTGAGTTGGACAGCCTGGGATGTGGTGGCCAGGCTTGGGTTGGGTGTCGACTTTTGGATTGGGTGGCCAGGCTGAGATGGGCTGGGAAGTGATGGCCATGCTGGGATCTGACGTGGTACCCAGGCTGAGGTGAGGTGGCCAGGCTGCAGTGAAGTGGGCATGCTGCTCTGCGGTGGGGTCGCCAGGCTGCGGAGTAACCAGGTTGGTTTGGGTTGGCCAGGCCGGAGTGTGATGGGTTGGGATGGGGTGGGCAGACTGAGGTGGCCAGGCTGAGGTGGCCCAGCTGGGATGCCCATGCTCGTTTCGGATGGCCAGACTGGGCTGGTTTGGGGTGGTCTGCCTAGGGTGGGGTGGATAGCCTGGGGTGTGGTGGCCAGGCTTGATGGGGTGTCCAAGCTTGGGTGGGGTGTCCAGGCTGTGGTGGGGACGCAAGGCTATGATGTAGTGGTGTGGCCAGGCTGGGTTGACCAGTCTGGTCTGGGCTGGATTGTGGTGGTCAGACTGGGGTGGGTTGGTCAGAATGGGCTGGACTGTTGTGGCCAGGCTGGGGTGCGGCGGGGAGGCCAAGCAAGTATTGGGTGGACGGGCTGCGCTGGTGTGTGGTAACCAGGCTGGGCTGATTTAAACATTCTGCAGTGGGCTGGCTAGGCTGGATTGCGGTGGTCAGGATGGGCTGGGCTGGGGTATGCAGAGTGGAGTGAATAGCGTGGCCCGGCTAGGATTGAGCTGCAAGGCTGGTCTGCGTTGGGGTGGCATAGCTGGGCTTGGGCAATCAGGCTGGGGTTAGCTGGCCAAGCTGCGGTGGGGTGTCCAGATAGATGTTGCCAGGCTGGGGTGGCCAGGCTGATTTGAGATATCCAGGCTGGAGAGGTCTGCGGTAGCCTGGCTCGGGTAGCCAGGATGTGGTGGTCAGGTTTGGGGTGGGTGTCAAGTCTTGGAGTGAGTGGTCAGGCCGGGGTAGAGATGCAATGCTGGGATGGTGTCGGGTGGCTAACCTGGGATGTGGTGGGGTGGGCAGGATCGGCTGGGTGGGATGGGGTAGCCATGCTGGGCTGGGGTGCGGTAGCCAGGCTGGGCTATGGTGGCCAGGCTGGGATGGACTCATATGATCAGACTGCGCTGACCATTCCAGGCCAGGACAGGGCATACACGTACTGGCCGGACACGGTTTGGCCGTTGCTCACTAAACCATTTGACGCCTTGAATCTCCTCATGAAGCCGGGCCTCACCATCATCTCTGCCGCTCCATTATGTCGTTGGGCGTTTGGCTGGCAGTACGTTATCACCGCGTCTGAGTGGGAGGGGAAGAGTCTGGGCATGCGCCTCGGCTCCCTGAATCCCTCCACTTTGCTCCCACTTTCTCCCCCCTTCCTCTCCGTCTCTGTCCAGCTGAATGCCTCCGCTAGGACCCCTCTCTCCACACACTCTCTCCCCCTTCTCTCACTATCTCTTCGCTCCCTGCACACACACACAATTGCATCGACAGGCAGTGCACACAATATGGGGCTGCCCTAGCGACACACAGAGACACACACTGCCCTGGACATGCAGAGCTCTCAGTGTGGGCGCTGCCTACTGTGCTCCATAGTTGTCCACAGTGAGAATTCAGAGGTGTTTTTTGTCAACAAGTAAAGCCTCGGCTTCTTGTCCTGCTTTTATGTCATTGCTTGCTGAAAAAGACAGGAAACCAGGCGCCGGGGTAACTAAACACATCGGATGTGCAGAGCTAAACTTACAGCCTATTCTCCTCTCGGCTGCTGACAGTCACTGCAAGAGAACAAGGAGCAAAAAACAACATGTCATTCATACACAACTGAAATATGCCATCAACACATAGCAAAAGCTCAAACTGGGGCCGTTTGTTTCATTAGCAGTCGAATCACAATGTAGATTTGATGTAAATCCTGTTAATTTGTGCTGTAAGACCATGTTGTATTGTGATCACTTATGGCAGCATACTTAGGCCTTAACCACTTAGCCTGCAGTTTATATCTTTATTAACGGAGTAACACACACGCACAGGGACTGCCAGACTGTTGTGGTGCTTATTAGGCTGGGATGGTGTCGACAGGCTAGTTTGGGTGAGTTGGCCAGGCTGGGGTGAGATAGCCAGGCTTGGATTAGGTGGCCAGGCTTGGGTCAGGTATCCAGGCTGGGGTGAGGTGACCAGACTGGGGTGAGATGGCCACGCTGGGGTGAGATGGCCAGGCTGGGCTGGGGGGAGGTGGCCAGGCTGGGGTGAGATGGCCAGTCTGGGCTGGAGTGAGGTGGCCAGGCTGGTGTGACCAGGCTGGGGTGGCCAGTCCAGGCCAGGACCTACACTGTCTTACCGGACACTGATCGGACATTGCTCACTCAACCATTTGACGCCCGATTGAATCTCATCGTGAAGCCCGGCCTCACCATCATCTGTGCCGCTCCATTACGTCATTGAGAGGCTGGCTTCCAGTGACGTCATCACCGCGTCTGGTTGGGGAGGGGATTGTCTGCTCTTTTGTATAGGCAGTCTCTCTCTCAATCCCCCCACTTTGCCCCCACTTTCTCACCTACCGCTCCTTCTCTGTCCAGCTGAATCGCTGCCCGCTATCTACCCAAACGCCGCTCACTCTCTCTCACTCTCTATAATAATAATAATAATAATAATCCTTGCATTTGATATAGCGCTTTTCACGTCGGGAGGACGTCCCAAAGCGCTTCACAGAACACTGTAAAGTGAATTGACTGTATATTTGTGGGGGAACGAGGCAGCCAATTGCGCACAGGAATGTCCCACAAACAGTCGTAGATTGAAAATGACCAATTTATTATTGTTTTTGATTTTGGAGGGTTTATTATTAGGCTCTGTGTGAAGTAAGGAAACTTGCCCAAGGTTTCGCCCTCTGCCTGGAATTGAACTCAGGTCTCTCGCTAGCAAAGCGAGTGCTCTAACTACTGAGCTACAGGACTCCACGTGTCTCTCTTCACTCCCTACACACACACACGCACACACACAGCTCTCGACAGGCAGAGCACAGAATGTGGGGACTACCCAAGCGACACACACACGCACACACAGAGACACACACACACACACACAGAGCCATGGAAATGCAGAGTTTACAGTGTGGGGACTGCCCTCCCTGCTCCATCGCTGTCCACAGTGGGAATTCAGAGAGTTTCCAGGCAACAATTCAAGCCTCGGCTAATTGTACTGCATTTGTCTCATTGCCTGAAGCGAAAGATAGGAAACCAGGCGCTGTGGTAACTAACCACAACGGACGTGCAGAGCTGAACTCACAGCCTCTTGTCCTCCTCGGCTGCTGACAGTCACAGCAAGAGAACAAAGAGCAAAAACAATATGTCAATCAAACAGAACTGATAGATACCATCAACACATAGCAACAGCTCAAATTGGGGCCGATTGTTTCGTTGACAATCGGACGGCTGAGAATATAGATTTGGCGTAAATCTTCTTACTTTGAGCTGTAAAACCATGTTGTATTTTGAACGTTTGTGGCAGCATAAACAGGGCGTTAGACACACAGCCCAGGAATATAAATTATATCTTTATTAACGGAGAAACGCACACACTGGAGTGGCCATGCAGGGCTGGGGTGATCAGGCTGGGGTGTGCTGATTAGGCAGGGGTTGTGTGGCCGTCTCGGC